CCACATGGTATTTTGCCCCGGGGCAAATAGCCCCCCCACCCCGCATTTTCTGGCCCGTGTGGCAGGGGCCAAGGTTTCTCAATCCATCCTACTGTCTTAGCTGTGCAGATCTTTTAGAGACATCTGATGTACATGGGAACTACAACAAATGAAGGGGGTTGCAGTATGACATAAACCAACACAATAGAACTACTGCAAATAGTGCAAATCATGCAAATTCTAATTTGTATTAATGCAACAATATTGAATCCAATCCATTGTACACTTATGTTTTACAAAAATAAGGACGTCACAAGATGAAATGAAGACATCAGCAGATGAAACTGGATGAACTCCCCCGGAGTTAACATTCGTTTCGAGGTGTCTTTTTCATACATAAGACCTCATACATAAGATCCACATGAACATGAATCTTCCAAATTGGACTTTCCTTTGTTCCTATATGTTTTGAAGTTACTCACAAACAGCTCTTAGCCATAATATAAACGAATGTTAACTCCGGGGGAGTTCGTCCAGTTTCACCCCTCCTTGGGCAAACTGATGGGTACTGGTTCCCTGTGGCTCAGCAAATTGATGCCAAACTTAATGCAAATACCTGATCGGCATAGACCATTGTAGCCCAGATCTCATGAACTCAAGCGATATACCAGGCTCAGATTCTGACAAAAAATGTATTGACGACTATCCTTCTAAAGATTCCATTCTATTAAATATAGAAATGGTTATGGCTGCAGGCGTACTTAACTTAGTAGACTGGTACAGTTTGCAAGGTGATGCTTGAGTATCACCAGCCATTAAAGATGCGATGATTTTCTACTGCTTCAGACCAACACGGCTGACTACCCAGATCCATGAGTTTCCAGCAGTCAATGAGGGTTCCCAAATAAATTAAAATGTTTCCATCTGCTTTGGCATTGTAGGTGGTATTTTCCCTGGTAAAATAATCTTTATGTTGAATTTTGTGTAACTGTCTGATCGCAGTTTAATTTCTCCACAAACATTGCTTAGCAATCAATAAAGTAATGTCAAAGAACTTTGATTTAGTAGGAGTCTAAGATAACATTCTCTCTAATATACTGCTGAAGAAAGTGATGGTTAACTTCCTGATTAGAGGAATAGCATGTGACAGGCTCAGCAAAAAATCTAATCAATACAATTATATTATGTAAATAAGATCATATTATTAATATGCTAGAGAATAAGTAGTTCATATGAAAAGTAGATATCCTACACTCCAGAATTAATTTAACTTTACACACACACACACTAGCCGCAAAGCCCATTGTAGAAGCAATACAATGAGCTCTAGAAGGATATGATGGCAATCCACCTTCTCCTCCCTCCCCAGACTCTGGGGCCGAGGGCCAGCAGAACGCCCCGCCAGTCCCTTCCCAACTGCCCGACTCTGCTGGCCGCCTCCACACCAAGAAGGCTATGCTGGCAATCTACTTTCTCCCCCCTCCACAGACCCCGGGGCCAAGGGTTAACGGAACATCTCGCCAGTGCCCTCCCAACTGCTCGGCTCTGCCGCCCATGGCCACCTCCATCCCGGTGGTGGTGGTTTGCAAGCCACACAGCTACCTGCACCCAGGCGCGGCCGACTACAACAGCCATGGTGCCACCATGAGATGGCTCAGCCTCATGATCGTCCGCCCGCTGAAGCGCCCGGTCTGTCCATTGCCTCCCAGCACACTGAGGCTGAGAGGCTGGGTGGCGTGTGTGTGGGTGGGACTCAGGCAATGCAGCCAGTGGAAAACGGGACAGCTATTGAGTGGCAGTTCAGTCAGCCAATTGATTTGGGAGCGCATCGAACGTTGCCACTCGAAAATAGAATTATATATAAGGAGAGCTTGTAGCCTCCACAATACTTTACATGGCTAACTACTATCCAGATTCTTTCATATAGTGTGCATGTGATATTAAATTGGGACCACTAAAGAAGACTTTTTTGGGCTAAACATGTCTGGTCCAATTTCACTGGTTTATTGGTTCCAATCAGTGCTACTAAGCATATACTGTTACTGTATTGTATGTGTACTGCAAAGTGTGCTACTAAGATTTTACTGCATTATATGCAACGTGTACTGCACAGTGTGTGACCTCTATGGCCTAAAGGCAAATTTTCTTTTTAATGAACTTTTAAAGTTCACTGTATTATTAAATATATGTTTTGTTTAAGTTTTATCAGTGCTTGTAACATCAACCTTTTAGGTATCCAAATCCATTTTGGGGTTAGGTTTTTGCCCCTTCTTTGGTCTTGTCTGCCTTTCTACTAATCCAAAGGATTAAGTTTCAGCTTGTTCACCCTGATCCAAGTGCCAGTTTATACTAGTTGGCTGTAAAGTTTTTAGAAGAGGGGGTTTTTTACATTCAAAGTGATATATCTACAAAAAAAATGTGAGGAATTGCCATTTTAAAGTGACAGTCAAAAATTAAATAAATGATATACTTTAAAGAAAAACAGCTTCCTTTTCAGTAACAAAATATACCTTTCTGTGGAAGGCACCAGTACATATAAATGCATAAGCTTCAATAATAGTATTGAGAATCTAAATAAGGCAGAAGAGCATAGGATCTGACAAGCATAAGGCGATCGCTTTCCCTGTTAGTCCTTATCCAGACTGCAAAGTGCAGGAACTGGAAACCAACCCTATGCTGGGCAAAGTAAAGGTTCCATTAGGTGGAGAATCAGGAGAGATAGAGGAAAAGAAACTCTTGGTGTAGAGCAAATAGGCAGGCAAAAAGAATCTGTAGCAGGAGAAATCTATGAATAGAAACTACAAGAAGCGGGATCCGCAATACTCGTGGGGGGGAATATACCCGATGGCCCCCAGCCTGCAAAGCAGGTGGAGGTCCTCACTGAGGAGGAAAAGGAGGAGGTGGCCACAGGTGAGCCCAGCAGCAATGGCAGCAAGCCCTGCCCAGTTCCCAGCTGCACTCCTGCCCAGGCTTCCCCCCCCCCCAGCAGCAATGGCGGTGAACCCTGCCATGGCTCTCAGCCGCCCACTGCCCAGGCTTCTCCCCATCCTCGGCCAGCAGCAACTGCAGTGAGCCCTGCATGGCTCCCAGCCACCTGCCCGCCGTAGCTTCTCCCCCCCGCAGCAACAGCAGTGAGCCCTGCTCGGATCCCTGGCTCCCTCGCAGCTGCTAGCAGCAAGCTCCACCACAGTTCCAAACGGCAAGTCTATTCTCCACGCATGTGCAAGAACGCAGTTTCAGTTTTTTTAGGATTTAAGTATCCTCGTATATTTTTAAAAATATGTCAGATTTTTCTGCACACCCTAAGTAATGCCTCAAGTGTGCATTTCTGTTGAGCTTCCATGGGCCCCCAATTTGCGGAAATAAGTATCCGCACGCACTGGGGACACTTGGCTATTAGTATATAGATGAGTAATTGATTAGTATAGAATTAACTTGTTGCTCAGACAAGAGCTGAACAGTGATGAAAGAAATTGGAAGTATTTTGTTAGGTTCCAGTAACCAGAGTTTATTATTATTGTCTTTACTGTTTTTGCAACAGGAGTCATAAATAGCAAATAATCAGAGTTTAATTGAAATGATCTAAGGGTAATTTCCTGTGTACTTCTGTGGCACAGCTGTTTTTGTTTACTATGTGTTGTACAACAAAGGGATGGTCTTGACAACTAGCAACACCTTCCTGGCTGCATTTAATTTGCATGATTTCCAGTTGCAGACATTACTGGGGTGGAGGAACCACAGTTATGTGGAACTGTGAATCCTGTCAAAGGTGGGTGTCCAGCTCTGAAAAATCTCAAAATGCTGCAGCAGGTCTGTCCCTAACCGTTGTAAAGAGCTTTAAACCGTTGTATTCTGCCACGAGGTCCCCAAGTGGTGGTATCCTGAGTACAATGGTTGTAATCGCTTTACCCTCCCCCCCCCGTCTGATCACTCTCCACCGGTGTCTAGCCACTTCCGTTCGGAAGCCTGAGGCTTCCTATTTTTGCCCGCCATTTTTTTTAAAGGTTGGCGATATGCGCTTGGGCAAAGCTTCACCCTGGCATTTGTTTAAAAAAGGGGGGGCTTTAGTTTAACATTTCGGAGGCGTCCGGGACCTCAGGGAGGCTACTTTGCTCTTTAAACTTTAAAGGTAAGTCCTTACCTTTAAAGTTTAAATGTAAGACGGGGTTTTTGCGCATGCGCGAAGATCGCCATTCTGTGGATAGCTGCCTATGCGCATGCTCAAACTGAGTTTAAAAAAAAAAACGCCGACCCCCGCTGCATGTGAACGGGCATACAGCGATGGGATCCACAGATAGGAGGTAAGTGTGATCGCGTTTCAGCCGGCATAAACTGCAACGGTTCCAACCGGAGCAGTTTATGCCGGCTGAAACGGCGCGTCTGAACGCACCCAAGGTGTCTCATTCTCATTGTATGTAAAACCAGAGGAGAAAAGGCATGCCCTCAGTAGATCCTCTAGTATGAAATAATCCAGGAGCCTACATCTGACAAAAGGAGCTTTGACTCTCAAAAGCTTATAACCCATAAATCTTGTTGGTCTCTTAACGTGCTCCTGGACTCAAATCTAGCTGTTCAGGAGCCTACATTGTCTGATGGAGTGGGTTCATAATACAACCATCTGTTCTTATATCAAAAGCTATGGCTGGGATAGTATTGGGTTGCACATTTTCTGACTGAAAAGACAGTATCAGGTGAAACACCTTTAAGACCAACAAAGTTTTATTCTATCTATATGTATGGACTGAGAACGTCCATTTCAATGTGTCTGCGGAAGTGTGCATGCACTCAAAAGCTCACACATTGAATAAATCTTTGTTGGTCTTAAAGGTGCCACCGGACTCAAACTTTGTTCTGCTGCTTCAGACCAACACGGCTGCTCACCTGAATCCACTGAAAGCATTGTTCCTCATTATGACACCATTGCTACTAAGAGGAATACTTATGGAGATATGTTGTCTGTTTCAGTCAAAGTGTAAACCTCAGTTAAATGTGTTGTGTGCTTTTGTTTTGTTTTTGCACAGCTACTACAGCACCATCATGCAGTTCATGAAATTTCATACATTGCAAAAGATATCACAGACCACCGGGCCTTTGGATATGTATGTGGAAAGGAAGGGAATCATAGATTTGTGGCAATAAAAACAGCCCAGGCAGTAAGTATCAAGATTATTGTAATTTTGTGTAGTTTAACTCAATTTGATAGCACTGTGGCTTGAAAGGGCAGCCTGTGAGCATTGTTTTGCAGTATATAATGCTGTCAGGAGTGCCCGCATAAATGTTCAGAGATGGCAGTTTAGCAATACCAATCTTGAAAAGAAAGGGAGGCAATTCAACCTTCTTCTTTTTTTCCTTGATGTATTCCTTGTAATTAGTAATTATTTTCCTTTCTAATTAAACTGGAAACACTAGCTGAATGCAAATAAGTTTACTCTGGCTCCTAGACTCATTTAGATAGAAAATGATGGAAAACAAATAGCTGTTTTGCATAGTCTACTCTCATTTCATTGTATTAGAAACTACTAATAAATATAAGCAATGCCTTTTATGCTCATAATTATAATTACCATTAATCTGCAAATATAATTAGCTTGTAGAGAAATGAACCTTTGCCAAGTTAAAATTTGAAGCTAGCCCAGTATAAACAAGGTATAAATTAATTCAACGTGAAAGGAATTTTTAGTTTTGTTTTGGATTTTTTTTCTTGTTTTTGCCTAAGGTGGCACTCCTAAGAACCAGTTTACAAACCAGGCTAAATTGGAGTATTTGTATTGATGGTGATGTAGCAGCATTGATTTAATGCTCAAATTATACATTGACATTTCGAACCCACCCCAGCAATCTCTGTCTCGAAAATTTGACTTAGGTTTCATAGGCATTCAGCAAGTTGCCGGGTGAGACTTCCTGAATGCAAAGATAATTTTTCTCTCATCATTTCCATGACAAGATAAAATGGGGCTTGCTAAACAATTAGCTCCCTCTGACCCTGAACCAAATAAGTGAACTGTATCTTAATTTGTTTAAATACGTTGCATTGATTTCAGTGGATCTCCTATCAAATAGGTGGTAACATGATTGTCATCCTGATCTCCTGTTTCTCCAGGAAGAAGGTATTTCTGTTAGCTAGGTCTGCTTTTCTATGTTATCAAAATTACTTGTTTTTTTTCATGTAGGCAGAGCCTGTAATTTTGGATTTACGAGATCTCTTTCAACTCATTTATGAATTGAAACAAAGGGAAGAGATGGAGAAAAAGGCACAGAAAGATAAACAGTGTGAACAAGCAGTATATCAGGTATTCACTAGACCATTCTTAGAGGTGTACATTGGTATAGTTGTAAAGCAAGAACTCACAATACTTTTGTGTTAGGAACAATACATAATGATTAGTACTTGCTCCAACCAGGAAAAAGATTGATTGTATGAACTGACTCTCCTGAACTATTGATCTCCATCAGAAGACTCCATGATGTAATGGTGACAGTTAGGACTTTCAATGAGATGCAGGGGCTCTGGACCGGATACAACACTCAGTTTTGTCTGATTCCCCTTTCCCACTCAGGACTCCCACAACATACCCAGTACTGTTCCTGGGGGTCCCCTGAATACTGGGGCAACATTTCACGGAACTCAGTAGGCTGCAACAGGAGGGAGAGGTAGGAAAGTTCCACTCACAGTACTTTGGACTCAATCCAGTCAGTTTACAATATTAATTCCGATGTGTGTATATGATTACCAGCATCTCTATGCAGGGATTCAGTAGTAATTAAAACAACAACGCTGCTGAAGACAAGAGCATTAGCCATTTCAAATGGCTTCATTTCCTACAAAATTGTTCTTTTAAATATTAAATATATATGATTTGAGGCTGGTTGATTTATAGATGCTTCTGAACTTGTGGACTACAAGCGGAAAACAGCAAGGATTTGCAAGGCATCTCATTTTCTTCTGTAGCTGCTCCCCCTCTATTTCCTCTTTCTCTCCTCTTGACAGCCCCATATCCCCTTCCCCTTCTCTGCTTCTTTTTCTCCTTCCCATACACCAGCAAATCTACCTTTTATCTGCCCCCATCTTCAACTATATTTAATATTTATTTACTTCATTTGTGCCCCACCTTTTTTCTCAATAGGAACCCCAATCAGCTTACATCATTCTCCTGTCTTCCATTTAATCGCCACAACAACCCTGAAAGGAAGTTTAGGCTGTGACTGGCCCAACATAACCTAGGTTCCACAGCAGAGTGGGAGTTCGAATCTGTGTCTCACAGATTCCAGTCTGAAATTCTAACCAGTGTGTGACAGCTGTTAAATAGTAGCAAACAGATGGGCCTGCCAGTGCTTGCTGGAAGACCTGGCCCTGATGAGTCTTCTTTCAAAGGCAAAAATGGGCAAGAACAGGATCCTCCCTCCTCCTGCCTTTTGCTGACAGAAATCAAGGCTTGAAGGCTGGCAATACTGTTGTGGCTGCCTAGCAACAACCACAGAGAGAGCTACAGGTGCTGCTTTTATTATTTGCAGGGAAATTACCTCCCCAATTTTTTATTTTGTTTGTTTTAGATTTTTCTGCTAACCTGGGTATTTTATCATGTTTGTAGAAAGATCTGTTTTGTCTCTTCCTGGCTCCTGATTTCAATATCCACATACAGGGTTCTGTTGAGAATTAGACATACTGATGATGGTGAAGGTCTGAATTGATGCAATAATTCCAGTATCCATATTCATAATGTGTACTTTCTTTGCTATTGCTTAATACAAACTTCTGCTGTTCTTTCCCTTTTGTCTCCTATCCTTTGCTTTTTGTTGCAATAGACAATTTTGGAAGAAGATGTAGAAGATCCTGTTTACCAGGTAATTTCTGAAGCTGTATAAACAACAGAGTTCAGAAATATTTAGGAAGAACGTTTTTCAGTAGAACTGCAATGCTGAAACAAAGTCATTTAAGTTCCCAGTCAGTGAGCTCTGAAAATCATAAAATATGTGCAAAAAATTGATTTTGGATTAATATTTCTATATTACACAGGAGACTAAAAGCAGCCATTAAAAATTACTTGAAAGTTAGGTTTTAAGTATTGAAACAAGATTTTATACAAGATTATATATATATTTCTCCAGTAGCTGTGACTGGCATCCTCAGAGGTATAACTCTCTGTGTCAAGATGAGAAGAAAAATGGTAGGCAGGTAATTTATATCTACTCAGGAAGGTTGGGTAGGGCTGAGTCACCCACCTATCTGAGTAGATATAAATTACCTGCCTACCATTTTTCTTCTCACTCCATCTTTCTGTGTTATACCTCTGAGGATGCCAGTCACAGCTACTGGAGAAACGTCAGGTCCTACAATGCCAAGACCATGGCCAGACAATGTGGAAAATCTACAACAGCTAATGAACTCCAGCTGTGAAAGCCTTCGACAACATATTAATCACATTGACTTTGAAAGTCAGTTTGTGATTTAAATCTTAAAAGTCACACAAGAACTGGGGATAAATAGAGAAATGTTTTGATTATGCATGTCTGATAACTTTAATTTAAAGGCAGGAGATGCTTGATTTACTCATTGTAAAGCTGTATTTCATTAAAGTAATGGGCCTCAGATATATGTTGGTTTGTTTTATTTATTTACTGTATTTATACCATACAGTATTCCATTTATTTATACCATACAGTTCTCCTCTGGGGACCCAAAGTAGTTAACAACATTCTCCCTTTCTCCATTTTATCCTCACAACGTCCTTGTGAGGGAGGTTAGGCTGAGAGTGTGTGACTGACCCAAGGTCACCCAGCAGGCTTCCATAGCAAGGTGGGGATTCAAACCCAAGTTTCCCAGATTCTAGTCTGACACTGCTGGCTTTTTAAAGGTATTTCATTCAAGGGATACACTGTGGTAGCAACAGAAGTCCCATTTATTAGATGAGTTTGCTCCCAGGATAGTTTACAGCTTCTGGTTTTTGAAAACCCAGAAACATGAAGTAATTCAATAGAGCTTTCAAAATTATTTCATTTCTGACATCCAAGGCTAAGTTGAAAGTGCCTGTTGTTTTTATTTGGGGTATGGGGGGAATAACACCATATTTCCTGTCTAAACATGATATTATAGAAGAGGGAAAGGAAGGGTAGGAGATCATGATAGCCTGTGGACTTCTCCCAGGCTTCAAGGTCTCCTAAACCTTGTTTTTAAAACAGATGTCAAACCCTTCAGAATTATTTAGTTGATTTTTTAAAAAATTCTTCAGCTACATTTTAACTGCATGTTAAACAGATGCAATATTGAAAAGATAATACACAGAGATATTTTGGAGAAAAGATGCATTATATTTAGAATCTTTTTAAAAAAAATTGTGATATCCTTCCTATGTTATATTTTCAAAAACAGGATGAAAAGGAGCCCTTTATTATATATTAATGCTCAAAATGTAACTTATTTCTCTTGCTTGTCGTCCCTCAAAGAGGTTAAAAGTACCACATGCAGCCCAGAGGCTTCTTTGTGTTCCTAAAGTAAAATTCCCAGTCACTTCTATGAGAGCAAAACTGGACCTTTGGTTGTATATATCTCTGTTGAAAAAGCAGCAGAAAACCAGTCCAGTGACAATTAGCAAAGTTCCATTTCTCCTTTATTTTTCTTTCATAAAAGAGTCACATTATATGCCTTTCAGCAAAAGTCAGTTGCTCCTGTGCTGGTTTGTACTTTGGACCTACTTCTTTACTGCTTGTCTGTGGTTATTTCTTCTGAAGTTCCAAATTGCCTTTTTCTCCTTTCTGTTTCATCTCTGACCTTTCCTCTTTGGCTGCTGATGTAATAGTACATTGTGTTTGAGGCTGGACATGAGCCAATCCGTGAGCCTGAAATAGAAGAAAACATTTATCAGGTATATAATTGCTTCATCTGTGTTTCCATTGCCCCCAGCAGTCAGTCCAAGCACATTCCATAGACCAAATCCCCCTTTAAACATTTTCATTCATCCTGAAGTTATGAATACCATTTTCTGTTCATTCAAGTTACAGGTTTATTTTGAACTGTTATCATTTTTTTCACTCTCTATGTTTTCTTTTTCAACCGTTTGCATTACCAGACTCCATTATTGATGTGGATTCTAAATACTGTATATAACACATAAACCGTTACTGCGTTCTCAGATTAATTTTCAGATTGATTATAATTTATACACATTTTGACAACATTGCAGTCTGCAGTTTTTCACATTTTTCAACTAAACTGTAATTACTCTCTTTGACTGCCTTTTTTGCATGATGCAAAGACTCTTTGACTCCATATTCTAGAGAAAGTTTTTATTTAGATCTGGTCCATGTATTTCAATGCTTAGCATATTTCTGACTGTTATCAAACTTTCGGTAATGACAATAGGTGCTGGGCCATTCTAGCAAAGTGTCTGGGCAGCCTTCATTTGGCATAAGATCATGGCTCTGGAGGATAAAGATATCTGTATAAAATACTAAATACTAGCCACTGTGAAAAAGATGTTTCATTCTGACTAGCTAGCTGAGAAAGAGAATTGCAACAAAACTTCAGAGTTTTTGAGTACATGCATGAATTCCAGACACTGTATGAAAATTGTCTATAAGCTTCATCCTAATACCAAGATTGAGATCTGTGCATATTTGGTTGGAAAAGAGTTCTGTTGAAATTATGGACCTTTATTTCGAGTATATGTAGCCTTACTAATATGTTACTAGTCTATGACAACTTTTTAGAGCTTTCATGTCTGTTCATCTAGAGAAAGTTCTGAATTGCCATGTATGAAACTGAGGCCCCTGCCACACGGCAGAGAAAAGACGGGGCGAGGTGCGGCTTTTAAAAGCCACGCCAAAAAAAGCCATGCCGGGGAGGACGACACTCGTCGGAGGGGAAGGCTGCCGTACTGCACATGCTTGCTCGAGCATGCGCAGTACAGCAGGGGGCCGGGGATGCGACGGCGGCAAGACGCGCCGCCGATCCCACGGGGAGGATGAAGCGGCTCAACCGGATGAACCACCGAAGGTAGGTGGTTCATCTTTGAGGCGCTTCATCGGGGGAAGGGCCGTGTTGGAGGCGGGAGCGCGAGGCCAGGCAGATGTTGCCATGGGATCGCGCCCGTCTGATGCGCCTCCAATCCGGCCCGCTCCCGGCCCAAACTGCCTCGTATGAACGGGGCCTGAGTAAATTATTTTAGGTCACTGCCCTGACCTGGGTGGTGCAGGCTAGCCTGATCTCATTAGATCTTGGAAGCTGAGCAGGGTTGGCCCTGGGTAGTATTTGGCTGGGAGACCACCAGGGAAACCCAGGGTCTCTATGCAGGCAAAGGCAGGCAATGGCAAGCTACCTCTGAATATTTGTTGCCTTGAAAATCCTGCAGAGTCACCATAAGTTGGCTGCAACTTAATGGAACTTTACACCACACATCAAGATTCTCCAGTGGTCCCGGGAGTGGGGCAGTCCTCAGGAGACAGGACTGCCTACTCCCAGACCACTGAGAAGGAAGCTTCACGGTAAGTGAAAACAAATCTTCCAATCTCATTGAAGAAATCCCTTCTACTTTTCCAATAGTGAGCAGCTCTTTTTAAGAAAGAGGAGAATTTAACACAGCAAACAGAAACAAAGCTAGACGTCCTTATCCATGAGAAACTTCTCAGTAGCTATGAAAAATAAGGCATGATATTCCAAGGGAGGCTACCTTGAATGAGGCACACCCAGCAAATGCTTATGGGAGCTTTCTGGACCAATACTACTAGATACAAAGACCTGCTTCTTTCTAGTGACCTGGCTTCAGTCTCTGCCCTTTTCATTGATTAGGACAATGTAGCAAACAAAAAGTATTGTAGCCATATTTCTGCTTTGATGAATTGGGGAACATACACTTTTCCTTAATTTGTAACCATACAATGTAGGCCACCTGTCTTATATAAAATTAAAGGTCAGTTATAAGTTTAATAAAGTGCCAGCTAGGAAATCTGAAAACAACTTCATTATTAATGTACTTTCAGCACAACCACTGTAGAAGTATGGGAATACCCAAGGCTAGTGTCTGTAATATAGGGTATTAGATGTGTAGTTCCTCTGCAATCCAGGATAAGCAAGATATACCTGGAGCATATCTGGGTAAGGTAAAATAATCTCAGGGGTACTCATATCAAGTTTTTATGGTACATTAGGTCTGAACAAGTTGTGATCTAATAAATAAGACACACCTTACCATCAACAAATGGCATCCCACCAGCAGCTTGTTGAGCCACATGTTTCTGCTAGTGGAATTGCTAATGTTCAAAACTGGCTGTCTAGGAATAACAATTTGTCTAGATAATAATGTATAATGGATGTATTGAAAACTGAGTATTATACCCATGAAGTGTTGTACCACTTTTAATGTAAAACAGGGTGGTTGTGCAAATCAGCATTACAGATATTTTGGACTAGGGGACGTCAGTTTATGAAAAGACCTTGCACATGTGTTAAGTTAGCAAAACACTTGAAATCTGTAGAAGAACTGGGATGACAAACGTAGAGACAGAAAGAAGAAAAGTGTTTGAAGCATAATGGGAAAGGTGTAAGAAGTTAGACTGAATGAAGTTAAGGAAGACTGAAAAAATCCAAAGGTGACATCAGGGTGAGACTGACTGGTAGATGTTCTGGCTAATGGTTAGTGAGAAACTCTGGAAACTCTCTTTTGAGTATTCAGAGCAGCAGAGGTAGTTATAAATTAGATACCTACAAGTAGGCGGGACACCAGTTTAGTACATTCTTATATTCCTATACGGAGCTGCGGTGGCTCAAGTGGTTAAGATGCTGAACTGCAGGCTGTGGAAGGTCAGTAGTTCAGCAGTTCGAGACCCGGGTGCCGCATGACGGAGTGAGCTCCTGTCTCTAGTTCCAGCTCCTGCCAACCTAGCAGTTTGAAAGCAAGAAATTGCACGTAGATAAATAGGTACCACTTCGGTGGGAAGGTAACAGTGTTCCGTGCGCCTCGGTGTTTAGTCATGCCGGCCACATGACCACGGAAACGTCTTCGGACAGCGCTGGCTCTTCGGCTTTGAAACGGAGATGAGCACCGCAACCCTACAGTCGGATTCGACTGGCTTTCGAGCAAGGGAACCTTTACCTTTACTTTATATCCCTATACATTCAAACTTTCCCCTTGGATTATGATACTCCTTCTGTGGCTTGTGGATAGCCACATTTTGCAACTATCCTAAACTAAAAGTATTACCGGTGTACCACAGTACCAAACACATGCATACAATAATATAAGATAAACTATTAAATATATAACTATAGCCTTTCAAATTATCAGAGTACCCCTGAGGTTTCTCCCCAACTCAGCTAGCCTCACCTAGCATTTGGATTGAGAGAAAGGGCTTTCAAGCCAGACTTATAACAAAAACAAAAACAAACTGTGTGCACACTTTCATCTTCTCCAGAATGCATAAAAACAGTTCTGGTTATTATTAAAAAAAATGCTTCCCTATATTAAAAGTTCCCTTCAAGTTAAAGTCTAGCATTACAGGAGAGAGGGTGGTTAGAAACTCTTTCCACACTAATATTTTTTCTGTACAAGGTTGGGGTAGCATTCAACAGTGGTATGCTCCATTCCACCACCTCATTCAGCTGCATCCAACATAATACACAGAACTCCTACATTTCCACAACTTTGATATAATTATCTTGTACAAGTTGTATTATGTTTCCATTGGGCAAATTACTTGAGAGAGCAGTGGCAATTCAGTTGCAGAGTTTTATGGATGACACTTCAATGCTAGACCCTTTCCAGTCCGGCTTCTGTCCAGGCCACGGGATGGAGACAGCTCTGCTCGCCCTCACAGATGACCTCCGGAGGCATCTGGATTGGGGTGGCATGGCAGTACTGTTGTTGTTGGACCTGTCGGCGGTGTTCTACACGATCGACCATCAGTTACTGATCCACCGCCTCGCCAACACTGGGATTCAGGAGCTTGCCTTTCAGTGGCTTGTCTCCTTCCTACAAGGTCGGGGACAGAGGGTGGTGCTTGGGAAGCAGATATCCCAGAGGTGCCCGCTGGTGTGCGGGGTTCCCCAAGAGGCGGTGCTATCCCCAATGTTATTTAACATCTACATGCACCCCCTTGCCCATATTGCCTAGAGGCATAGGCTAGGGTGTCACCAATATGCAGATGACACCCAGCTATATCTGTTGTTGGGCGGTCAGTCCGACTCTACCCCAGATGCCCTGGACTGGGTGCTTCAGGATGTTGCGGGCTAGCTTAGACTGAGCCGATAGAAATTGAATCCGATGAAGACTGAGGTCCTGTGCCTGAGTCGGAGCGGGTCGGGGGTAGGGATCCCATTACCGACCTTCAATGGGGCACCGGTGGTGCCAGCGCCGAGGGTCAAGAGTTTGGGAGTGCTCCTGGATGCCGCCTTAACAATGGAGGCCCAGGTAGCAGCCACTGCCAAAGCAGCCTTTTACCATCTATAGCTAATTAGGCAGTTGGTTCCCCTCCTCGAACGCAATGACCTGGCAATGGTGATCCATGCTATGGTCACCTCGAGATTGGACTACATGGGGCTGCCCTTGTCCCAAATACGGAAGCTGCAGCTGGTGCAAAATGCAGCAGCCAGGCTGTTGATGGGCCTCTCCATACGAGAGCACATATGGCCTGTGCTGAAGGCATTGCACTGGCTGCCAATAGCATACCGGATTCGCTTCAAGGTGCTTTAAAGCCCTATATGTTGGGGGCCTGTCTACCTGAGGGACCACCTTTCCCCATATATCCCCCAGAGAGCACTGAGGTCAGGGTCGCAAAATCGCCTGACTCTCCCTGGCCCAAAAGGTGCCAGATTGGCCGTCACCAGAGCGAGGGCCTTCTCAGTGGCGGCTCCACACTTGTGGAATGAGCTCCCAGAAGATATCAGGGCCCTGCAGGACCTGTTACAGTTCCGCAGGGCCTGTAAAATGGAGCTCTTCCACCAGGCCTTCGATTAGGAGCCGCCACTGATGAATGAGCTATGAACAACTAGACTATTATGGCCCCCATCCTACTGGCATTCAGAACAACTTTGGACACCACCCTAACTACATCGGACCACCTCACAGAAATTCGCCATCTGTACTTAACTGCACTTTATGTAACTTATTTGTAATTTGAAATTTTATAATATTTGTATTTATTTGTGTTTTATTGTATTTTAAACTGCTGTACACCGCCTTGAGCCTGCCTGTGCAGGCAAGGCGGGGTATAAATTGAAATTAATTAATAAATAATAAATAAATAAATAGTTTTGTCTCAGGCCAGTATTAATGATGAAACTATTGCAACTTCTAAATACTATCTCATATCTTTCTCTTCCCTCTGCATTACCCAGGATAGGGCTGGATGGCTTGTGCAGCTGAGCAGGATGCCCAGGCTTCTGACTGTAGGAGCCCATTCTGGGCCAGCCAGCAGCATTGTGAAGCCTCTCTTCACAAAAAGCCTGTTTGCCTTTCACTTCATTCTGTCCCCAGAATGAGGCACAGCATCTCAGACAAGAGAGTAAGATGGCCAGTGTACCAGGAGAGCAATCTGGCTATGGAGAAAGGGAGTAAAACCACCAGCACCCCACTGGGGCCTAGCTTGCTTTTTTTCCCAAGTGTCCACCATGATGTTGGTTTTACCCTCTCTTCTCTATGGCCAGTTCTGGCAGCTGCCCAAGTGAGGGGTTGAGAGCGCAACGGAGGCCATGGAGAAGAGTGGGACATTGTTGGAGAGAATGGCCCTTACTTCCATCTCTGGCACGAGACCCACAGCTC